TTATATAAATGTTGTTGCTCTTATTTTTCATGTGATGACTGCTGTGTGACTAGCAGGTGTGGTGCTTGCAGGGAAAGAAAAATAAACCTTTACACAGCCAATTATGTGCCTGTTATTTTATTTACATCATCTCATTTAATCCTCCCAACAATCCTGCAAAATTAGCATTAGTCCCATTAATTTGTTGGTTTGTTTGTTTTAAGGTAAGGCTAGGTGGAATTTTCCCCATTTTGCAAAGAGGGGAACTTAGGCTCAGAGAGGTTATGTTAACTCAGTGGAGATTAACCAGCTAGTAAGTGGTAGAGTCAGGATTCGAACTCGGGTGTTTCTAAAGGTGATGTTCATGCTCTTTACATCCTTTGCTGCCCTAGTCTTGCAAGCCCAAACCAATGAGACAATAAGAGATGTCATGCACGCAGGCACCCGGCCACTTCACCCAGCCGTACATGCTCACATGCATGTACATTCAGGTCTGTGTCTGGCCATAGTCCCCTCCCTCACATCCAGCCATGGGTTGGCTAACTAAGTCCCAGCTGAGGTGTCATACAGTGGAAGGGAGGATATCATGGTGGTTCCTGACACAAGGTCAAGGTGACACCTGCCATTTCCCCTTCTGAATGCCAAGCATTCAATCTGTAATTGATTCTGGGTCCTTCTTTGCCTCAGGCTTTTATAGAAAGCATAGGCTACCCATACAGTTGGAGTTTCCTTTGTCTCTACCTGCCCTGTCTTGCATGCTAGCCTTGGCTCTGGCTTCTTCAAATGCCTTCAGTCCTGTCCCAGTTGACCCCCCCCCCCGCAGCCGGTAGAGAGCCATTTAAATGTGGGGCTCCCTGTGCCAGTGCACAGAATTGCAGCCCGTCTCTCCCGTCCCAGTGCTCACTGTGGCTCCCCACCCCCGCTGAGCTTTTATGACTCATTGTGGACTGAATTTTTGTGTGCCCCCAAAGTTCACATGTCAAAATCCTAACCCTGACAGGATATTATTAGGAGGTGGGGACTTTGGAGGTGATTAAGTCATAAGGGTGGAACGCTCATGAATGGGATTAATGCCCTTATAAAAGAGACCCCAGAGGGCTCCCTCACCCTTCCCACCATGTGAAGACACAGCAAAAAGATAGTCATCTGTGAACTAGGAAGCAGGCTCTCACCAGACACTGAATCTGATGGTGCATTGACCTTGGACTTACCACCTCCAAAACTGTGAGAAATAAATTTCTCTTGTTTATAAGTCACCCAGTCTATGGTATTCTGTTACAGCAGCCTGAACGGACTAAGACAAGTCTTAACTCAAGTACCCTTCCTCCCGGAAGCCTTCTCTGACCTCCCAAGACCAGGGTGGCTTTCCCTTCCCTGGGCACCCATGGCACCCTGAAATTCCCCTATAAGAGCCCCAGCCCTCCTTGTGGTAGGGCTGTATTTACTTGTCAGTCTCGCCCACTACACTGGAAGCTTCCTGAGGGCAGACACTGGCTCTGTCGTCACTGTATCTCCCAAGCACAGCTCACAGTAGGTGCTCGGTTAGGTCCCCACGTTTAGCAAATAAAAATGCAGAATGTCCAGTTAGATTTGAATTTTGGATAAACAATGACTACTACTAATAACAAATACTACTAAGAATGAATAAAAATACTGCATTATTGTGTCTGGTAACCCTATGCTCAATAAGTGTTTATTGTACTCCTTACTATGTGAATGAGCAAAAAGCACAGAGAAAGGAAAAGGTCTTGTCTTTGGAAGAAAGCAAGAAGCATCAGTTTGCCTGGAACATAGCCCTGGTGCAAATCTGTCACAGAGTGAAATGAAAGGAGCCCAGCACGCCTGTGCTCAGAGCAGCACCCGTACCTAGTAAGAAATCCATCACCAGTGATGGAGGGATGCGACAGAACGAACACATTGCAGGGGGGCGAGGGGGGGTTAAGTGCCAGAAAAAAGTAGTGAAGATGTCAAAGCAGAAATGGAGGGCGTGATGATGGCAGTGGCTGTGGTCACGGAGGCTTTTGAGGGGGTCAAGTGACCAGCAGGCTGCAGCCTCCACATCCTTACAGAGTGGCCATGTCCTGATTCCACGAGCAGCTGAAACTCTCCTCCCAGACGTTGTAGGGGTCTGTGCCCATCTCGAGCAGGACAAGTGCAAACCTTGATTCTCCTCTCCCACCCAAAGAGTGGAGGGGGTCCCCCGTCCCTCTGGGGTTCCTGAGGCAGGAGTTACATCCCCCCATCCCCGCCCAGGCTGGAGTTTTCCACGAGCCCCTCATGCAGAACCTGGCCTCTTGGGGAGTCTCCCTAACCCTCTGCAACAGGCGGCTGGGCTCCCAGGCCCCAGGGTGGAGGATTGCAGGGAGAGGGAGGAAATAGGCCCCCTTTGTCCCCTGGGCCTGGCAGCACAGTGGGAGCCTGTGTCACACCAGCTGCTCTAATGCGGCTCTGACTCTGGTGGACACCAGCCTTGGAGGAGCACGTAGCCTGGGGGACCCCATCTGCTTCACGTCCCTCCGAGTGGGACCTGTGGGCTGGCTGTCTGTGCCTGAGGGACGACCCGTGTCTGGGGGGTGCTGGCTGTCTCTAGGAGTGCGAATACGTGTGTTCACACCGGAAGGTCTGACGGAGGGCAGGCAAGTGCGTGTGCTTGTGTGTCTGCCTGTGGGACACATGTGTGCCTTGGGCTGGCCGCGTGAGTCTGCAAGTAGGCACAGACGCGGGTGTGTGTGCGTGCGCTGAGGACAGGTAATGCTTCTGAGCACGTGGGGGGACACGTGCCGAGGTCTTCTCCCGTTGCCAGAATAGGGAGCCTTTCCCAAGCACCGGGCCAAGGAGGGCAGAACTGGCTGAGAAGCTTCCTTGGAGAGAAGTCCTAGAAGATGGGGACCAAGACTCTGTTCCATTGAAACTTGTGTTCTGCACACACATCCCCTGGGGCTCTGGGTTTGGCTGTTCCCTTCACTTGGCCCCTCCCAGCCTCTCCCTGCACCTGCTTCCCTGCATGCTGGACCATCAGGGACCCTCATCTGGGATGCGGACCCTCAGCCACGTAGCGGCTGGAAGGATGAGAATGGCTGAAGCTCTTCGGGGTTCAGGATGTTCCCCTAAGGGCTGAGCTGCCCAATCTGGCTTTGCTTCCCTCCCACTCCACCCCCCACAAATCAGAGCCCGGCCCACCCAGCCTTCCCTTCCAACCTGGCTGGAATCAGGAAATGAGATTTCAACTCCATTCAACTAAATCCAACAAATATTTACAGAGGAGGTTCTAAGCACAAGGCTCTGTAAAGCTGGAAGCAGCGGGGTGAAGCCCTTTTACCAGGGCCTGCCTCCCAGATGACTCCAGGTTTAGGGTGATAAGGTCCCACTTTAGGGCTTTGCTCCCTACCAACACCCACAGCTGCTGCCTCAACCGTCCCCTCAACCAGCAATTGATGGAGGCCCTGCCTGGCGAGGGTGCACCCGGGAACCTCCCAGAGAAAATGCCCGCAGCACTGGCAGCCCCTTCCCTGCCCCCGGGGGCCCGCTCCCCACCCTCCAGGATCAAAGGACCCCTCCGAGAGGCAGCCAGAGGAGTAGGTGGCAGAGGAGTGGCGGTCCCCTGCCCACTTCAGGAGATAGTACCGGGGACTGAGGGACTTGGGAGTCTGGGTTTTCCTTCTGGTTAAAAGGAAAAGCTATTACTCCCCCAAAGGGGGCCCTCCAGCCTTCAGGGTCCAACCTGCAGGCAGGCGTCTCTCAGCTGATGCCCCAGAAGTCCCTCCCTATATCTTGGTCTCCAAAGTGAAAACTGCAATATGATCCTTGGAGTGAGGCATAAAAATATTGAGTCGGGTTTTTTTTTTTACTCTAGAAATTTAAGACTTACCAAATATTTAATAAATGGGTTGACACTTGCCCTCCCTCAGTCCCAGTTTCAGATTATCCTGAGTCCCAGAAGGTTCTCTGGGAATCCTAGAGGTGAGGGCCAGCTCCTCTGTGTGGGGCATTTAGGGAGCGCCTTCCTACTTTGGCTCCCTGTCAGCACAAGGCTTCATTTGTTCCTAAGTGCTCCAGTGTGCCACCAGTGCGGCTGGTTTTATAAAAGCGATGCCTTATCCTATGATAAACCATAATGGAAAAGAATATATATATATATATGTGTGTGTGTATAACTGAGTCACTTTGCTGTACAGCAGAGATAGGCACTTGTAAATCAGCTATACTTCAATAAAAATAAAATAAAATAAAAGCGATGCCTTAAACAGAAGTATATTTTCATACTTTGTGAAAGAGAAGGGTATAACAGGAAACTCTTTCTGAACCTGCAGGTCTTCTGGGAATCAAATCTAAGGACAGTTTGTGCATTTTTCTTTTACAGAAAGACAAGTATATTCTAGACTCTCTGACCTTTTCTATGACAAGTGTTTATTGGCAGTGTGTGACCCCAGCCAATATTTCAGACCAAAAATGTCCTTCTTATCAACCTGTAGGGAACATTCCAGCAGTGAGTGAGAGAGGCACATCTTTTCAACTAAAATATAGGCTAAGGAGAGAGCATTTTGAAACTGGTTATTTGGAACTGTTTCCATCATAAGGTGATGTTATTCCTGAAAACTAAGTAAATATGTCACCTATTAAAAATTCTATCTACACTACACAATTAAAGAAATAAGCTTGGACAATTTTCCAGAGAGTTTAAGAGAATGTTGAATTGGTTGGCTAAAAATATAAAAACACAAAACCTTCCAATTATTTTGCAAGAATAACCAGGAAAGGTGGAAATTTACTAGCTAAATGTCAAATTAAATTGCACAACGGATGGATGGGAGTGAAATACAAATGCCGTGATTTAATGGGCCCAGCGAATGATGCACGTCTATCATTTGGTGACGTATCTCTTACAGCTGTGGCCATTATGAATATCAAGATTCAAAATGTATAAAGTTAAACATTCACTTAGCAAATGATTCAGCAATCCTACTTCTAGGTATTTACTCAAGAGAAAGGTAAACACATGTGCACACAAATACCTGTATGCAAATGTTTATAGCAGCTTCATTCACAATTGCCCTAAACTGGATACAACCCAAATGTCCATCAACTGGTGAATGGATAAACAAACTGGTATGTCCATACAATGGAATACTACTTAGCAATAAAAGGAACAAATTACTCATATATACAACATGCATGAAACTCAAAAGCAATATGCGAAGTGAAAGAAGACAGACACAGAAGATTACATACTGTGATTCCAAATACGTGATATTCTAGAAAAAAGGCGAAAGTATAGGGACAGAAATCAGGCCAGTGATTCCTCGGGGTTGGAAGAGGGGAGTGACCGTAAAAGGGCTTGAGGGAAACTTTTGGGTGATGAAAATATTCCACGTCTTGACTGTGATGGTGGTTACATGCCTCTATATATTTGTCAACACTCATCAAACCATACACTTGTAAAGTGAATTTCACCATACATATATTTCGATAAACCTAATGTTAAAAAAAACAGTGCTTAGCATATAATGCTACAAAAACATTTAATAAAGCAAATATTTTAAAGCATAGAAAAAAATCTATAACCAAAGGGAATTTCCTGGTGGTCCAGTGATTAGGACTTGGTGCTTTCACTGCCCTGACCCGGGTTCAGCTCCTGGTCGGGGAACGGAGATCCCGCAAGCCGTGAGGCCAAAATTAAATCAAACAAGGACTTAAAAAAAAAGAAGTATACAACCAAAATATGATCAGGGATGGTCTCTAAGTGGTGAGATTATTGTGATCTTTACCTTTTTCTCTGTGTTTTTTGTATATAAAAATAAACAGAGGTTTGAAAACTGACTCTAACATTCATATGGAAGTGCCAGGGACGAGAATCATCAAAACAACTTTTGAAGAGCAAAGTTGGAAAACACTACCTGGTTTCAAAAGTTATTAAAAGGTTACAATATATCAAGACAGTTTGATATTGGCATAAAAATATACATCAATGGAACAGAATCAAGAGACCAGAAATAGACCCTATACTTTTTTAAAAAAACAGCTTTATTGAGGTGAAATTGACCTACAAGTATTATCCTATACTTACAGGACAAGTGATTTTCAACAAAGGCACAAAGGCAATGCAGTCCAAAAAAGATGGTGTTTTCAACAAATACTGCTGGAACAATGACACACCCATAAGCAAAAAGGTCTCTATCTATACTTTGCACCATATACAAAATATAGCTCAAAATGGACTATAGACTTAACTGTAAGTAAAACATCTAGAAGAAAACCTTTGCAACCATGGAGTAGGCAAAAATTTCTTAGATATAGCACCAAAAGTATGATCCATAAAAGAGTAAATTGATCAATTGGACTTTATCCGAATTAAAAATGTCTGCTCTTAACAGACACTATTAAGAGAACGCAAAGAGGAACCACAGACTTGGAGAAAGTATTTGCAAATCATATATCTGATAAAGGGCTTGTATCCAGAATATATAAAGAACTCTCAAAACGTAATAGTAAGAAAATAATCTAATCAATAACAGATAAAAGATTTGAGATACCACCAAAAACCTATTGGAATGGCTAAAATAAAGGGACTGACCCTATCAAGTTTTGGCAAGTGCATGGAGGAACTGGAACTTGCATACATCGCTGGTGAAAATGTAAAATGGTACAACCACCAACCACTTTGGAAAACTTGTTGACAGTTTCTTAAAAAGTTAAATATATACCTATCGTGATCCAGCCATTCCACTCCTAGGTATTCACCCAGAGAAATGAAAGCATATGTTTCTCAAAGACTTATTCATGAATGCACATAGTAGCTTTATTTGTAATAACCAAATACTGGAAACAACCAAAGGTCCATCAACAGGTGACTGGATACATAAACTGTGGTATATCTGTACAATGGAATATTACTCAATATTAACAAAGAATTAACTATTTATATGTGCTGCAACGTGGATGCATCTCAAAAATAATTATGCTGAAAGAAGTCAGACTAAAAAGAGTACATATGATATGATTCCATTTATATAAAATTCTAGAATATTAAAAAAAAAAAGCAGATCAGTGATTGCCTGGGAACTGGTAGATGGGGAAGGGGTGGGAGAAGAATTACATGAGAGGAAACTTTTAGGGTGATGGAAATGTTCATTTTCTTGCTGTGGTAATGGTTTCAAGGGTGTATAAATATGTCAAAACTTATCACATTGTATACTTTAAATATGTGCTGTTCACTATAGGTCAATTATAGTTCAATAAAGCTATTAAAAATAAACAGATTACTTTTGTAACAATAAATTCCTTAAAGGGTAGAAATGAGAGACTAAAGTCATTATATTATATTATACATATCTTTTTGTGGTTAGTTACTGTGTGGCCCTATTTAATTATTCATATACTGTTTAGAAACTTTGTAATGTAGAGATTATGGGTATACCATTATAGTTCCTTGAGTTTGGTTTTGTGGTCAGTTCTATAAAAATCTGTATGTCAGACCCACGGCCAGGAGCATAATCCTCTTTTATAACATTGTTTCTGTGGGAAAGTCAAAATTGACTTGCATTACATTTACATAGTGCCTTTCCTCTGCCCCCAGGCTCTCTTTTCTCAAATCCATCTTAAACACAGTTGCAGACCTATTTAAAAAAAAAAAAATTAGATCATGTTACTTCCCTGTTAAACCCCTCCGTGTTTCCAAATAATAAAGTCTAAACTTCATAGCATGACATTCAAGGTCCTTCCCAACTGACTCCATCTAAGTCACCAGTCCCATCTCCCAGAACGGCCTCTCCCTTTATGCATCTTGAGCCGTTTGACAGGTGCTTTCACCACTTTGAGCCTTTGCTCATACTGTCCAACGTCCAGGTATGTCCTTCCCTTTCGCCTCACTTGTGCATCTGGAAAAATCTCTCACCCTTCAAGATGCATTTTAAATATCATCCCCTCCTGGGAGTCTTCCCAGATTTCCCCCAAACAGAATTAATCACTCTTTTCACTTCACTCCCATAGCACCTTACATATATGTGTACTAGAGCTCTTACTCCACGGTATTGCAGTAATTGAGGTGCTGTATTACTTAGCTTAGAGGCTCAGACGCTACAACAAAAACAAATAAAACCTCCAAATACCAGTGATTTGAGCAAGTTTATTTCTGTCTCATTTAAAAGTCTCAACTGGGGCTTCCCTGGTGGCGCAGTGGTTGGGAGTCCGCCTGCTGATGTGGGGGGCGCAGGTTCGTGCCCTGGTCCGGGAGGATCCCATGTGCCGCGGAGCGGCTGGGCCCGTGGGCCATGGCCGCTGGGCCTGTGCGTCGGAGCCTGTGCTCCGCGGCGGGAGAGGCCACAGCAGTGGGAGGCCCGCGTACCGCAAAAAAAAAAAAAAAAAAAGTCCCAACTGGCATGCTGCCTCAGCTCTGCAATGTTGGGATCCAGGCTCCTTCTATCTTGTTGCTCCACCATCCTTAGGGTTTGCAATCATATGCGTGGACCAACATGACTCTCCAACATGTCTGCCTTCTAGCCATCAAGACAGGGAAAGGGGATGGAGAGAGTGTCTCCTGCCTTTCTATGATATCATCCAGAACTTGTACCATCACTTTATTCACATCCCACTGGCCAGAACTTAGATTTATGGCCACATAAACTTCAAAGCATCAGGGAAATGCAGTTTTATCCTGGGTGGCCACTTGCTTCACTCTACTTCAGGTGTTATATTATTAGAGAGACAAGGGAAGAATGGATCTTGGGGCAAACTAGCAGCCTCTGCCACAGTTCACCCCTTTGGCCACCTTACTATCTGTGGTCACTCTTCTCTTCACACATAAAACACTAACATTGTCTTCCAAGACAAACAACCTCAAACACCAGGTCATCTTGCACCCAACACTTCAATCAGATCTGGATGTGGTTACCTGTGGCCTGGAGAGCAACACGCTTAAAAGACACATCTGGAACTTCCCTGGTGGTGTAGTGGTTAAGCATCCGCCTGCCAATGCAGGGGACATGGGTTCGAGCCCTGGTCCGGGAAGATCCCACATGCCACGGAGCAACTAAGCCCGTGAGCCACAACTACTGAGCCCACGTGCCACAACTACTGAAGCCTGTGGGGCTAGAGCCCCTGCTCCGCAACCAGGAAAGCCACCACGATGAGAAGCCCGTGCGCCGCAACGAAGAGTAGCCCCCGCTCTCAGCAACTAGAGAAAGCCCGCGTGCAGCAGCAAAGACCCAATGCGGCCAAAAATTAAATAAATGAATAAATACATAAATTCATATATATATAAAAAGACACATCTGCATCCCACCCTCCTCCAACAGACAATGATGGAACAAGAACCACATATCACATTTTAAAAACAATTCTTACTCGGAAAATAAAACAATGGGAACTACACAGATGGCCCCAGTCCACAGCAATTACCAAATCATGCTAGTTAGACGTTATAAAGACTCCTGTCCTTCTGTTTTCTAGAAGTAACTCCCTTGTCCACTGTCCTCCTTGGCTCTTGGCTTTGTCCTCTGGGAGCCTCTTACTAGGTCACTGACCTCCATAACCATATCTGAAGTGGGCATCAAAGAATATGCCTCCCTCGGGCTCCTGGCCTATTTGCTGAGTCAGTTGCATGTGCAGGTAACTGAGCCAAAGGTCTTGTCCTGACAGAGTTTGTCAGGCTGTATTTTTACTGTCTTCCGTGCTCTGCCCAGACCCCTCTCTCAGCTTCATGGCTGCTATCTTCAGGCCATCTGAGACAATAGGCCAGGGTGGAAAGGGAACACCCTTAATCTGATCTTGGCTGCCGGGCTGGCTCCCACAGTCTGGCAGAGAATTCTCACCTGGGAAAGCTTGAGGAAGGCTCAGGGCCATAGTCTTAACTCCTACTAAGGCTGTCTGTTCAGAGCCAACTTTGGTCACTCCTTCCATCTGGGGTGCAGAAGCAGTTGGCATTGCCAACTCTTCGAGGCTCCAAAATTCCAGACTCTGAGTCAATTTAGGTTGCAGGCAGCAGGCATAGGTGCCCTTAGCAGAACTGTATTCCCTTCCGTCTCTGCTTGAAAACTGGCTAGGTCTAACCCGAGTTCATCTCTCTTTTCTAGGAATCTGCCCAACGCAGCAAGTAGTCAGGACCTCCCCAGTTCTCAAGTTCTCTACAGGCTCAGAGAGCATGTGGTCTTCCTGTCAAGGTACTGATCAAGATGACAGTTTACTAAATCTTCTTCCAGAGCATAACAAGTGTCCCCAACTTCCCCGTCTGCCTATCTGTGTCTGCCCTACCTGACTGTGAAGCCAGTACCACATAAATGAATATTTTTTATGACAGTCCTCTACTTCCAAGTAGTCGAAATCAAATACGGAAAAGATTTTGGCAGCTATAACTGGGAGACCAAACATGACAGCAGCTTCGACAAGATGGAAGTTTATTTCTCTCTCGTGAGAAAATCAGAGCTGGTCTGATGGTTCTACTCTGTGACACTCTGGGCTTCTTTTGCCCTTTTGCTTTCCCGTCCTGGGAGGGTGTCCCCGCCTACAGGATCCAACATGGTCACCCCCAATTTTCAATTCCAGGGAACAGGAAGGGGGAAAGGAGCTGGGGAGTATGCAATTCAGAAGTTGTACACACCACTCCTGTTCACCTCCCTTTGGCCATGTGGCTACACTGAGTTGCAAGGGAGACCGTGAAAGGCAGTCGTTACTCTGGACTGATGTGCCCAGCTGAAAACATGGGGGTTCTATCACAACGAGAAAGAAGGGGAGGCAGTGACGTAGGGGACAATTAGTCATGTCGGTCACAGCCTGTCGTCTCTTAAGAGAACTCTCGGAGGGGCAGAGACCTGTCTCACCATCATCACCTGTAGGCACAGCCAAGTGCCCAGCGGGGGGTCAGTGACTACATGTGTTCAACCTCAAATTTCCCAGACCATAACCCGATCCCATGACGGCAGCCGTCTGTGGCATGATCGTGTTTAAACGGCATCTTCACTGATGTAACCAGGTGCCCCTGGTCTGTGTGTCTTCAAGTTCTCCAGCCTTGTGGAGTCACCTCTCACGCCCTGTATTCCTGAGGGCTTTCTGAGGTGGGCGGCTGGTTTCTCCTGATGCAGCCGGGATGCTACTCTTTTTTTTTTTTTTTTTTCCGGTACGCGGGCCTCTCACTGTTGTGGCCTCTCCCATTGCGGAGCACAGGCTCCGGACGCGCAGGCTCAGCGGCCATGGCTCACGGGCCCAGCCGCTCCGCGGCATGTGGGATCTTCCCGGACCAGGGCACGAACCCATGTCCCCTGCATTGGCAGGTGGACTCTCAACCACTGCGCCACCAGGGAAGCCCCGGGATGCTACTCTTCATCGTGGCCCTCAACCCTGCACCTGGCGTCCCGTTTGAGAACTGCCTCTTGCTAAGCTGATGCCAGTCTCCTCCTTCATCCCTGCACAATGTAATAGAACCCAAGCCTCATGGGTGTAGCAGATATTTAATCACATTTAGGAATAATGGACAGTGATTTTAGCATCAGGTGGAAACGACTTCAAATTCAAGGTCACATTCTACATTCTCAAAATGTGTTGGTCATTCCCTACCCGAGGAGCTTCCCCTTGGCAGTATTCCTGTGTTGGCCTCTCCTCTGCCCCACAAGGTATTTTTCAAGCCTTCCCTCCAGACTCCCAACATCACTCTATTCTCCCCTATTCCTGGGTCCCTTGAGCGCTCCCAGGAACGGTCCTCACAGCATCACAGTTCTGCCCACTTGCTTCAGCTCAGCCTCACCCCTCCAGGCTGCGCTCACAGGCACTCTGTTTTCTAAACTCTAAAGGCCGATCACTGTTTAAGTAAAAGGACCATTAACCCAGAGATTAATCATGCCCTTCGCATAGAAGGCAGAGGAGGCTACAATCCGTGTGAACTTTAGTCACTTTATTTCCTCCCCACTCTAAGTACAAGATCTCATTCGACCCTTGAAACCCCCCTGCGAGGAGAGGTGAGGCCCCTGAGGCCCAGAGGTGTTAAGCCACCGTCCAAGGCCACAGAGCAGCTGAGAGGCAGGGCTGGCCCACACACTGGGCGCCAACGCCCCTGCCTGGGAAGCGTCCAGCATCATCTTGGGTCAACTCGAGTGCTCTGTGACATGAGTCTCATCTCCTCTGTGTGCGGCTCCCAGGGGACGGTGCTCCCTCTTTCTCCCAGACACCTAGCCAGGCTGGGCCCACAGCAGCCTCGTGTGGGCCCACCTGTCCCGCCAACTGAATGAAACGGTCATTGTGGTGAAAACCACAGGGCAAACTGCCTCAAGGATGCTCTCCTTGCCGCATCCCACTAAGTCCCCCAAACACACCCGTTCGGACTCCAGCCTCACACTCCCTAATGCCCCGTCCCCGCTCACCGGCAGGGCCAGGTCAGTCCCCACTGGCTGGGGAAGGTGGAGGCCGCAGGTGGGAGGAGGAGGGAAGGGGAGAGGCTGGGGCAGGGGACTGAACTGAATAGCTGCTTTCTTCTCAGAGGCTCCCCCCACCCACAGTGGTCATTGATTAACCCTCCAGACCAGATAACCCCTGTATGGGAGAAAAAAAATGTGTGTTTATCTTGGGTCATAAAACATCAATATTGACTTCTCACAGGTGAAGCCAAAGGGGAAAGGGAGAGGTGGGGTTG